ATTTGTTGATCTTGGTATTATTTTTTATGCAACTGAGATTCTCATCAGAAAGTACTTGCCTACATCCATGACTTCAAGAGTTTTACCTACTTTATTTTCCAGGTGGTTGTTTATATTTTAATACTTAGACTTTGATTCATTTTTAATTTAGTACGTGGTGAGAGATATGGGTCCAGCCTCAGTTTCCTGCATTTGCATAGCCAGTTTTTCCCATGTTATTGATTAAAGAGGCTATTTTTAAGATTTAATTTCAAAGCTTGTATTCTGTATCTTAGCAAACTATAATAGATGAAGTTACTAGGTGAAAATCTTCATTTCTTGATACTTAGAATAGTTATTCTCAAATTTATTGAAGGATCGTTTTGATACTATATCACAAATTGTTTCATATCAATACATCTAATAAGCTCAAATACATAATCTTTTAGTGATTTTAAGAAGCCAAAAATACTCAAATTAAGCTTCACAAATGATTTTCAAGTACTTATGTTAATTGTAAGCAAGTTAGATATTCTTATAACACATATATTTATAACCACCAATCTCATTTATACCCAACCAGTTTATTTCTAACATTTAAATCTAGGTTAGTTACAAAATCCAAGACATCAGACTAAAACAGTAAATTTTTTATTTCTTTTGTCAAAGAATTTTTTTTGAATCCAAAATTGTTACACTTTAGATACAGACATAGACAACCTTACATATTACATTTCGAGCACTAAAAATATAATCCTGATTGGCTAGCAACATGACAAATGTTGGTTGATGGTCCTGAAAATACTCTTGTTTTATCTTACCAATATATTTAACTTATTTGTCAAGTATTTACTTTGATCATGTGAACTAAAAGGATATTTGAGTTTGTATTCTAAATTAATTTGTTACTTTTAAACATTATACAAACATAAATATCCAGACACAACAGACAATACACACTTGTACACAAACATTAAAATAAGATTGTGTTTCTTTTATTTAGATTACCAGAGAGTTAGAATGTTGATCTGATTTCCCTTTTCATGACCCTAAGCAATTCCTAAACCTATTATTGTGTTTTATAAGATTTAAGAGAAAAGGCAAGAAATTTACATCTTAATGGTGTAGAGTGTTGTGCCCAACCAATCTGTGCTCCTGCTTTATGAAACCTTTCTTTCCTGCCTTAAATTTATCAATGATTTTAGTTATTTTTGAAAGAACTTGCTTTTTGTTTGGGAGCATTTTTTATTATATCAAAATGCAGACATGGCCAGTCTAAACCTTATACATTTTAGCCTTTGCCTTATTGCACAAGGCCTCTAGTTTGGTGTGAAAACATATACAATAAAACAATTTAGGAATATCAAATGTTTTCCCCTGAGGAAACACAAAGCCCAACTGTTATCAGGTAGCTTGCTTCTTTTTTAAAAAATTTTATTTAAAGAAAGGCTAAACAAAACAGAAAATAGGGAGAAATAATTCATACGTTCAGAGAAAAAAATAAACAGAAATCACTAGTTGATGTTTACATATTGTCGTTTTACAAAGAGTTGTTCAGGATACAAAAAAGGAACATGTAAAGTAGGAATTCAAACAGCGAGACTACAAAGAGTTCTGTTCAACTATCCAACAAAAACTTAGTAACATGGTTGTCAATCCTATACACTTAACCATACATACAGTTATCCATATCTTCATTTATGTTTAGAATAAACAAACTAAAGTAGGTTAAAATCATTCTGAACAAAGGATAATAGTATTGCTGGATTTCACATCATGACACTCCATGATGAGCACTGGGTACTGTAATGTCTTTTTTTAAAATTTAATTTAAAGAAAAACTAAACAAAACAGAAAATGGGTATAAATAATACATAATTTCAAAGAAAAAAAATAAACAATAAAAAATCACTAGTTAATGATTCCAGACTGTCTTCTCACAAATAGTTGTTCAAGATATTAAATTGGAGCATATAAAGTGGGAATTCAAACAGTGAGATTGCAACCAGTTCTGTTCAACTATCCAACAAAAACTTAGGAATATGATTATCAATCCTATACACTTAAACATACATGCAGTTATCCCTATCTTCAATTATGTTGAGATTCAATAAACCCAAGCAAGCTAATATCACTCAGATCAAAGAATTTGTTGCTAGATTTCACATTATGACACTCCAGGATCAGCACTGGGTATTTTAGTGTCCCTTTTTCTTCAAAGTATCTGTTCATTTCATCATGTGTCATAAGATCAGTCCTCATAAACTGTTTATAGATTCTACACATGCGTGAGTCTTAACATGTATTTCTATCCTTTCTATATTAGTGGGAGAAACAAAACAAAGCATGACAAAACAAAACATTTGTATAAACACATGAAATGAAAAAAAAAACATATAAAGCCATTGTACAAAGAGTTCTACCATGGTTCCTGTGTTGTCTCTTGTTATCTCCAATAGAAGTGGTTAAATCATCAGACATAGTATAATTGAATATATCAATACATGACAGTATTAATAAAAACACAACTTAGTATATAGTATAGAACTTCAATAACCAGCAGTTATCAAACCAGAATGTGTATCGTAGAGTCTTGTCATCTCAGTGTAGTTGCCTATACTCTCAGACTTGATACCATCAATCATACTAGCTTTGAATAAAATCTTCTCTACCTCATTTCTGTAATGCTCTTTTTTTGCCATCAGTTGTCTGCTTATCTACTTCATTCTGTTTTCTGCTCCATTCATTTAGGCCTCTCTGCCACTGTTCCTGGAGTCCTAGTACTTTTCTCTCTCTCTAGAATGCCCCACAGTATTCTCTGTAGAGTAGGATTGGTGGTTGTGAATTTCCCAAGTTCCTTTGTCTTAGAAGCATCTAGTTTCTCTAGTAATTTCTAGATACAGCTTAGCAGGGTGTATAAATCTGGGCTGGAGGTTATTTTCTTTCAGAGCTTAGAATATTTTGCTCCAGGCTCTTCTTGACTTGATGGCTTGTGTGGAGAAGTCTGCAGTTATTCTGATGGGCCTTCCTTTATACTTATACTTATCTGTTTCTTGTATCTAACAGCTTTTAATATTCTGTTCTTATATTGAGTCTCTGGGATCTTGATTATTATATGCCTGGGAGAAGCACTGTTTTGGTTGTAGGTGGCTGGAGTTCTGTATGCCTCATATATCTAAATACCATTTCCTTTTCCTATGTTTGGAAGTTTTCCTTAGTTATTTCTGTGAATAACCTTTGTAGTTCCTTTTTTTGTACCCCAGCTTCTTCATTCACATTCTTTATTCTCAAGTTATAGACCCTCTTCTCATCTTCTAGCCTTTGTATTGTTACTGCTTGTTTCCTTGTTATTTTTAAAAAGTTTTTCCTTTCATACTTCCACATTGCAAAATTGTCCTCCCATTTGGATAATCTATCCTTCATTTCTTTCAAGCTGATTTGCCATCTTTCCATAGAGTTTTTCATTTCCTGGTGATCTCTTTGAATCTGCTTCATGTATTCAATATTTTTTATATTTTTTCATCAAATGGTTCTCTCTCTCCTTTGTTTGGGCTCCTCCCTTATTCCATCTATGTCTGCTTGAGGGGTGCTTAATATATCTTTTATTAATCTTCTTATATCTTGCATTACTTGGCTAAATATTTCACTTTTGAACTTGTGTATGAGGTCCCAAATATATCTCTTTATGTCCACTGGCACTGTGTCTGATATTGAATGTTTGCTGTTCTCATTTTCCTTTGTATTTACCTGTCCTGGGTCAATATTCTCAGGGTTGGAACCTGGGGACTTTTTGTTGTTGCTTCCTCTTCCCATCTTTTTTGCTTCTTCCAGGAGGCCCCAGTTTCTTATTTTGTTGGTTACAATTCTTCTGATGCATGCTGGCTAGATGACCATTCCCACTGCCATGTGCTAGTGAGTTGCAGACAGAGGCAGCTTGTGATGGTCCCTTCCCTCCAGGTCAGTCAAGTTGCTGTGGCCTGCACTGTATTACTTTGCACCACCTCCCCTCCAGGTCAGTCAAACTTCTGAGGCTTTACTGGGTTAGTGTGGTTAGTGTGCACCACCACTGTAGGGACTTGATTTTGGATAACCTATTGGGTCTCAGCCAGGTGTGTGACCCAGGCCTAGCTTACTCCACCAATCTCTTTTGAGAAGGGAGCAATTGACTGCTGAAGTCACTGCTGCCCCTTGTACTTGCCAGTCCTGTCCAGCCCCAGAATATCATCTGCTGGAGGCCCTCTTTCTATGGAATGGCTCCACTCCTGTCATTCACCACAGGTTGATGTAGGCTCCCTGCCAACTCAGCTCTCCATTTCCACTCGCTGACCCTCAAACTCAATCAATGTAACTGTGCTTCCAGTGAGTCGAAGTGGCGGGACCTCAAATGGCTCAGCAAGTCACGGCAGGATCTCAGCAAGTTGTGGCAGGACCTCAGATGGTCAGCAAGTCACCTGCTGCAGCGGAAACACTGAACCTTTAGCTATTCCAATAATAGCACTAATAGGGCTGTATGTTTGGTTGGTTCTTCTCACCTTAATTTCTTCTTGGAACAAGATAATTCATCTCCCTCTGTTTGGAGCTTCCCACTCTGTATTATGTTGAATTCTAAATTGACTATCTCAGGGAGCCTTTGTAGCCAGTTGTTATCTATCCACCATCTTTGCTCCTCCCAGATAGCTTTCTTCTAAAAAGTGGCTTCCCAACTATTATGGTTTGTGTCTGGATATCCCCTCAAGACTCATACAACCATGGAGTGGTGGCCTTTTTGGAAGTGGGTGTATCTACAGTTTATGATTGGTTCATTATCTAGTGCTGGGATGGAGATGTGAGGGTTACAACCACCCTGGGGCAGGTAGCCCTGCCTGTGGTATAAAGGAAGAAAAGAGGTTGCTCTTCTCTTTTTCTCTTGTTGCTTTGTCCCTCTGACATGCCACTGTGCCTTGGAGCCAATAGATTTTGAATTGAAACTTTTACAAACTGTGAGCTAAATGAACCTTTCCTCCCTTAATTTTGGGCACCAGGTATTTACATCTTAACAATGAGAGAAAAGTGACCAGGACATCAACCAAATGTTATGAAGTTCAAGATTGCTTGCCTCTCCTTCTGGAGTTGGATTGCAGGTTTTTGTCTCAAACAAAGAAGTAAATCAAATAAGCAAAAAGCAATCCAAAGTTTATTTGAGAAAATGGAAGTGAAGATTGGGAGAGAAACTGGATCTGCAAAACCAGCTTGGGCAGAGTAAACAGCAAAAGAAGGTAAGAGCAAGGATAAAAGTACACACTGCATATGTGAAATAGAGGATGTGCTGTTGTGGAAAGCTGCCTTAGCTCTGCCTCCTCACAGCTGCCTTTTATTTATATTGTCTAAATCTCTAGGAAACCCAGGAGAACTTCTACATCTGGGTCCTGAGAGGCAGTGCTTGGATCCCATGCCTCAGGTGAACACCAAACCTAGGCTATCCTAATGAAAACCTGCTCTAGTTCTCAAGAGAAGTCCATGTACAGGGTTGTGGGAACTGTCCCGTGCATGTGTATGGGATCTCCTAGTTAACAGGTGATGGATTTTGGTGTGCCCTAATCTCCTATCTCAAAAGCAGTCCTGGTCAGATTTTTCCATTTCTAAAAAGTACCTGCTCAGTCATGGGTCTTTGCTTTAGTAGAAATGGAAGATAAAATGGAATTAGGAGCTTATAGGAAAAATAATCTTTAATTATAAGTAAGAAAAAATGATAAAGGACTTAAACTTGAGAGCTGTAAGTTGCTGAGTTGTCCAGACTGGGTTTAAACTTGCAGTTTTCCTGCCTCATCTTTCTTGAGTGCTGGACCCCATGATGATTGTTCTTAGCACCCAGTCTGCCCAGTGACATGCCATCTTTAAAAGGAAAAGCTAGTCTGAACTGCCTTTTACTCTTTAGGAATGTTAATGTATTTCTGCTTAACCTAAGGGCTTTTTTGGTTTTGCCTGTTGGTTTATGAAGAGTGGGGGGCAAATGATGTTCTGGGGATAGAAACCAAGGTCCTTAGCATGCTGAACTGGTACTTTGCTAAGGAGCCTTTCCTGACCCTCACCCTATCTTCTTTACTGTACCCTGTAGACATGTTACTTGGAAGCCTGAGCTGTTTACCTGAGCATTTTGTTATGGCAGCCTCTTAATTCTAACTTTTGTCTCCTAGCCCCTTGAACTTATCTCATGTTTGTTGCTAGCCAATATTTGTGGTACAGTTTTGGTGTTTGGTACCTTTCCTATGGTTGTAGGCTCCTTGGTGGAACCTTCTGCTTCAATTATTGACTTATAGGCTGCCAGGCTAAACTGACAAATGCTGCCAGATAAAAGCACCCCTTCAACATCAGGATCACTTCCTTCAATTTTTTTGGAATCCAGTTGCAGTTATGCCCTATACTGGTTTTCAGTGCCTAAGCATATATACTTTTAAATGTTTTAGTATTTCTACTTCTTTTTTCCTTATTTGCCAATGGGAGAGTTGGTCTATTCCAAACACGTGTAATACAGCAAAAAGCAGAACAGTGTATCACATTCTTCTGAAGAATTTAAAAACCATTGACTACTGTGATTTTATCAGAATGTCAAAAGATTATGTTTAGATTTGGCATAGAAGAGAAAGCCAGATCAATTTGAAACTTGTATTGAAAGTTACACTGGTTTTTAATTCATTAGAAAGATTTTTCAGCTGGACATCTTGGTGCATGCCTGTAATCCCAGCACCTGAGAGGCCGAGACAGGCAGATTACTTCAAGTTTGAGGCTAAACTGGGCCTCACATAAGTTCAAGGCTAGCTTGAACTACATAGTGAGAAATTGTCTCAAAAAAATGAAATGTTTTTCATTAAAACAGGTGAGTTAGCCCTTTAGAAAAAAACCCTGATTTTATAATTGAATATTTTTTTATTGTTTTGCAACTTGAGCTTTACATTTTCTTAAGTAGGTATGTGTTATTTTTTCTGGCTACTCTTAGTACTATGAGATTTTAGAAATCTCCTTAATAGGAGACTGTGATTTAAATAAATAAACAAACCTAAACAGGTTTGTGAAAATTTTGGAGAACACCATGACTTTTTTTTAAAAAATCAAGTGTTCCAGGAAACACTCATTTTTAAAAGATGATTTGCTGACATTTCACATCTTGAATCCAAGGTGCTGATTCATGTAGTTTGAAGTTCAGGGAATTGTTTAAAGTTATAGCTTCCCAGAAAATAATCATGTTGATGTCAGAGAAAGTTTGTAAAGCTATGAAAAATTGTAATTACATACTGTGCTGGTATGTACCGCAGCCTGATAGATAAGGGACAGATTTCACAATGGTGCTGACAGCTGAGCTTTTATCGATCTTTTGTTTTTAAAGCTAGCAATGATGTATCTAGGGCTATAACTTCAATTCAAACCCAATAAATAAGAAATTGCTGGGTTGAGAATAGGATACAGAGCCAATAGTTTAGAAAATGTGATCAGCTTTGTAAAACTACGAAAGAAAAGCCCATTACCAGTAGAATAAATAAATTATTGAGGTAATCTTGTCAGGCAAAGTACTTACAATAAACTTTACAAAACGGTGATAAAATGAAAAAGTATCCAATAAAATGTGAAGCTATATACTGCAGTGATCAAAAATACAATCTTGGGACAATTTCTGAATAGTTCCTCAATCTAGTAGCAACTTAAAGTATTTTATAATATCAAACATATCTCATCTATTGTAAGGTATATTAAAATTTTTTCCATTACTCAATCTAGTGTATAGTGTGTGTTTGCTATGGTCTGAATTCTTAGCTTTAAACCTCATCATCAGTGTGATGCTGGTAGAAGGCAGGATTACTTTGGGGGGTGATCGGATGATGAAGGCAGAAATTAGTCCCTTTTTAGAAGGGAGCCCATAGAGCTTCCCTGATTCCTTTATGTGAGGCTCTACACAAACAGGGCACCAGCTCTGCTGCACTTTGGTTTTGTGCATCTCAGCCTCTAGAAAAGAAATAAAATTCTGTTCTTTATAAGCTTGCACAGCCTGTGGGATTTTATTGTAGCTGCCCAAATGAACTAGAACAATGTCTCTTTTGTAATTCTTTAGAAAGTAAATGTGAAATATATCTTATCATATTTATGGAGTAAAATATCAATACATAATAAGAAGGAGAGTACTGAAAATATATACTAATAAAAAAGAATAAGAAAGAAGTTTTTAGTTGCTCATTTTTAACATTGTAATTTTATTCAGGCACCATTGAGTTATCTTGGAAGGATCTTTTTTAAGTTCAAAAAACCTTGCTATTAAGACTATTGACTAACACACACACACACACAAAAAAGCATGTCATAGAGGCATATATCACCTACAGACTGTTACATAATTATTTCATAATTTTTTTCTTTAGGTATACTTGGCTTTAAGCAATGAAACTCATACAATTAAAGTTTATTATTTTCTTTTTTCATTGTTTTCCTTTCCTAATTAGAACCTGTTTGATATAGTGACCATCAGTTTCATGCAAAATTATGTAAATATACAATTTATACATTTTATTAAGAAGTATATTTTTATACTTTTCCTATAGTCAGGTGTCTATATAATATGTAATATCTTGCATAATTTAAAATTATATAAAAGATACAATAATATTTAAACTTGATCTTTTGGAATTTAGAGATTGATTTAAATAGAGATGCTTTGTTATTTTATTGACATATCAGATCCAATATATGAATGAATCTGTAGTTTTTGCCTTTTGCTAAGTATGTGTTAGTCTTTCAGATGTTTTCACTGTTTCAAATATTGTGTAATGAGGATACTTACACATTTGTAGTATAAATTTCCTTATGTTTGTTAGCAAGAACTTACGTAGGAAATCAGTTGGAAACTGACAGCTTGCTCTTTAAAATGTCATGTAAATTTATGCCCACATTACTAAAAGTTATTTCTCATTTCCCCCTATACTCACCAACACAGCATTGTCTGAGAGTTAAAAAAATAACTTTTAAGATATTTGTCCCTGTGACTATCAAGTAGAGTGCTAGTTTGAAGCATAAGGACTGAAAGAAATGAAATCATAGTTTCTTCATGAAGAACTGAGGAAAAAGCTATTCCTACCCCAAGCACTCTCCTCTTCTGCTTGAGAAAGTACTTCATCTCTTGCTGTTGGGCCAGTGGCAAGGCATTGCTGGCCTTCATTTTCTGTGGCAGTTTAATTTTTCCAGGAAAATACAGTGTATAGTTAGTGCTCTCCTTCACTTGTAATTCATGACACTAGTCTAAAGAAATTGCCCTCAATAAACATATTCTGCCCCCAAAAATGATAAAGGTTACGTTGTTCTTTTGAAATTTATCAAAGCTACGGATAAGTCCTCCACTGAGAAAACTAATTTTACTTGACCTACCATTTTTCAAACATAAAAAAATCTAACCTCTACTGTGTTCCTATCAGTAAAGATTAGATCTCTCAACCTCCACAGATATCTAAAATATTTAACCTCTACTGATAGGAACATAGTAGAGGTTGATAATCTAAACCAATGCTCTTTAGATGGAATCAACACAGAATTAAACATTAGAAACACAAGTTTAAACTCATATTTTCTATTTACTGATTTTAGGCATGATATTTGTCATTTATGAATCTCAGTTTTCTGATCTATAAAATGAGCATGAAGTCCTTCTTATAAGTTATGGGAACTTACAATATACACCACACAAACAACCTGCTATAACCTGGTGCACAGTGGGCCTTTAGTACATAAGGAATTAGTCCCTTTCTTGAGATAACCTCACATTTTACTCTCAGTGTTTTACTAGAGACAGTGATGTAACACAAGATATATAAATCTATAAGAAATTATAAGATCAGCTTAGGATGGTCACCCACAGAGTCAGAGGAAGAAGTGTACAGAGGGCATCTGCACCTGGAGGCTGAAGGATTTAGTCCAAGGCCTGGAGCTCCCTGAGGTGTCCTGTGAAAGTCTGTATCAGGAGGCCAGAGGGTTGGCAATAGAATGCTGAGAATCTTCAAGGGAGGCAGAAGAGTCTGGAGATGACAACCAAACTGACAGCAGAGACAGGAGCTCCTCCAAACAGAAACGAATCCTTCCCCACTTCTCCTTTACACTGTACAAGTGACCCAGCTGCCCTAGTGTGAGTCCTTTATATCCAAGGTGTAAAATTGCTGAGCCAGCATATTTAAGCTTCTGAGGTTCTCAAATTGACACAATCATTGCATTTTCCATGGTGTAAGTTGTCTTTTCATTCTCTAAAATCCTCCTCCCACCCCTACTAGGTAGGTCTGGGCTCTCTGCTCTAAGTATGAGAGGAATAGAAAATTCTAGTGGTTCATAACTGTACAGACCTCAGTTATGAAAGACTTTATCTTTTCAACTTGTTTTATGAGGACAATACCCATACTTTCTTGATTATGACTTAGGTAAAGTTTTTCTCTTAATTTTTTATAGGTTTCTAGATATGTAACCTATACAATTTGATGATTATTCATGCCATAGTTTTCATAGCCTCATAGAAACATTTAACTAACCAATTCTTGCTCAATTCTTTCCCACTCCTATAATGTTAGAAAAGACACTAAAGTTCCCACTACTACAATGAGAACATTTATATAAGGACTTTATGCTGTAACAGTGCGTCCTGCATACCATATAGTTTGCTGCAGAAGTCTTTGACTCAGTCTTGATTCACACCTCACCTTTTACATGTCATCATGTATCAGCTAGCTTCTCAAATTCTCAATTTCCTTATCTGTAAATGAGAAAAGCATGGTCTCGGCTCCATTTTGTGAGGCACTGCAAAATGAGATAGCTGGAAAATGCTCAGGATAATGTTTGTTATTTGGTTAGAGATGTTTATCTTGGCCACCCCTGCCTCTGATCCACACTCCATTGAATTACTATTGCTTTCAGAATCTTATCAACTTCCAAGTTCAGTATCTATAATGCTAATTAAAAGAACAAATGTGACAAGGGTCTTGGGTAGAACTGAGGATGTTGTGTTTAATCTGCAAATGTAGTAATTATCATAAAATTAATCGACATAGTTTATTCTTCAGAGAATAGTAGGAGGAAGAATGTATGGGTATTTTGATGATAAGCTTGATCATCAGAGTACATTATTGCCATGTGTAAAACAACCAAAATTTATTGAGCAGCTGCTATATGCCAGGTGCCAGGCTAGAAATTTTACTAGATTAGAATATTTGCTCAAATTATTTTTCTAGAAAATAAAAGAGGAAAAAACATTCTCACAGCACAAGTGCTATCATAGAATGGGAGAGAGGTCTTAAATTCCACTACTACCACATCCTACTAATTATTGAGTATTCATTTTTTGAAATATTCATATTGATATATTGTGATGAGTATCTCATATGCTTTGTTATGTTTAACATATATCACAATCTGATGATTTATAGGTAAGAAATCACAAGGCCAAAAGGTTGAACAATTGACCAATATGTTGATAGCAAATATTGGAGCGAGCATTTGAACCCTGTCCTCTCTGATACTACAGCCATAAACTTGCTGTGTCCTGAGAGTTGCACTAGCAGGGAAGTCACAATCTTTGTGCTTTTTTTCCTTGATTGCTTTGGACATCCCACCTGAAGAGCTTGGAAAGTAAATTGTATTCACCATGTCAGTTCAAACATGCGCTCTTTCCCTCATGTTTAACCTTCCAAATCACTATGGGATTAAATGTCCTTTCTAAAATAATTGTTGGTATACAAATAGTTATGCCTCTAGTTCCTTAGAGTCAAAAGAAATTTACTAACTCATTTAATCCTTGTATTAAACCTTACAAAAGTACAGTACCTTTATCCCATGTATTAAAGTATAGAAACTTGGGCATAGGAGTGCCAATGCACTTGTCTAAGCACAAACAACTAACATGTGTTCAATCTGGACTGCATATTAATTAGAATCTTCATGGCTTTCCCAGATATAGCTGGGTGGCTACAGCAAATGATGATTTATTTTTCAATTTTTATTAGTACCTGTTTGCAGTACAAAATTATTATATTCATGGAGGAGGTTGGTATATATACACAGTGTTAATTTTGTACATATTAATATTTACCTATGTTTAGTAGCAAATTATTAGTGTAAGATGTTGTATGTTAAACAAGAACTTTGGTTGGTTCACTTTCAGTTGTTTTCTTTCTTTCTTTTCTTTCTTTCTTTCTTTCTTTCTTTCTTTCTTTCTTTCTTTCTTTCTTTCTCTTTCTTTCTTTCTTTCTTTTAGTGGGACTGGAGATTGAACCCTGGGGCTTTCACACTGAGTTACAGCTTTTTAAATGTTCTTTCATTTTTCTTTTGAGAGGCAGCTTGCTCATTCCCTCAAATGTTCAGGTTGAGCACCATCTTGGGATCCTCCTTCTTCAACCTCCTAGTGTGCTGAGATTACAGGCATGCACTACCATGTCTGACTCCCATTTCTGATTGATATCCCTTTTCCTGCAAAGTACTGCCACTACGTCATCTTAACACTGGAAGAGTGACAACAGCATGAAATACTTCGACTCAGAAGATACATTTGAGTATTCATTTCCTCTGTATCCATAGTGCCACCAAAATATGCCATTTTCCAGTGATTGATTATAATAACTGTGTTCATTGTCATTCCTCTTTTTAGATTTTATACTGTGGGAAACCAATGGAGGGAATATTGCATGCAAAAAAGATTCAGAACAACCTTCAGAAGATTTGGAGCACAAATCTTAAAGACTTCCCGGAGAATTTCCAATGGTGATAAATGTCAAAACTCAGCATCTATTAATGAGAACCAAGGGAGGGTTATAGTTGATTATAAGGTCTTGGATGCTTCTTCTTTTGTTGTGAGGAAATTCCTGACTTATGCAATAGACCAAGAGGACAAGACAGAGTGAGAATATGGGTGATATTTTTATGTCAATAAATACTAGTGCGTTGCCTGTTTCTGTTAAATCTGCTATGTACAGGAATGTTCATCAGTTGGAATGATTTGAAATCATGCTCTGGAGCATAAATTTTTTTATTCTGCTTTTAGTTTAAAAATTTTTATTGTTTATTAGTAGATGTTTGCTCTACATAATGATCACATTCATCGTGGAGTGTCAGTACATATAGATAACACATCTTGGTTTTACATTCCCCTCTGCCATTTTTTGTTTGTGGACCATAAATATTTGTGTATCTTTTACAGGCCAAGTAATTCTTCCCAGTCCATGAGACTTATTTCCACTTTGTACAAAAGTAATACCAGTTACAATAAAATATTTAGATCTCTAAATGTGATAAATATCCTTTTTAATACTGCACAGGTTACTTTGAGAATATTTTATGTTCACTGCAGACATGTGTATTGGTTTGGATTTTCAAATTGTAACACAAGCACCTAAACCTTAATCATTTTAAAATTATGCTTACTTAATTGAGTTCCTGGTTTGGCAGCTTGGTGATTTTGGCTCTCTCTTGGTGGGTAGTTATCCTTGTTTTCTTTGGGCTTGTTTACACTATCATGGGCTGCCATTAAGTTGGCCAGAGACTGGGTCATCCCTATTCCATACAGACATTATAGGGATAAGAAGGGCCTTTATGAAGACCACTCCTGGCATTCCTACAACAAAAGACAGATTAAGAAGGGAAACACTAGACAGATTTATTTAATCAGAGTTCTGTATGACACAGGCACCTTGACACTGATAGTTCAAAATCCTAGAGGAAACTGTCAATTTCTGTGCTTAAGGTCAATAAAACATGGACAGCCTTTGTGGGAATGTGATTAAACAAAGAATGTGAGTTGATGCTAACACACTGAGATGAGAAACTGATCAAGATCCATCTGTTCAGTTTCTTCTTGGTCACTCTGTGTGGCATTCCTTCGTCCCAAATATAGGGAAAAACTCTTTCTTTCTTCATCTTTTTTTTTCTCTTTTTTCCGGTACTAGGGATCAAACTCACAACCACCTGCTTGCAAGGCAGGTGCTTATGCCACTGAGCTAAATCCCCAACTCCCATGAAAGACTCTTTCTAAAGTAAGGATTTCCTTACTGCAATGACTTACAAGTTAGTGCTCAGAAAGAGTTAATAGCTAACAATAGAACTATTGTATTCCTAAACCTGACTAAAACCATAATCAGTAAAATAGCAGGCAGAAAACATCAGCCCTTATATGCTTCCTGGACAAATGACATCAGTTTGAATTGTGGGAGATTGTCTCCCAACTTGTTACAATTACCCTTGGTTGCTCAGTTTTAAAACTCAGTTTTCCCTTTCCTTTCCCCTTCCCACTTATAAAAACACCTTATTATTTTGTCTGGGCCTAATTATTATGGATTATAACCCTATTTTCTTCATTGGCACAATCAATTTCTAGTGTACAAGACACTAACTTCCAGCTATGACTTCATTTAAAAAATCATTAGTTTAATGATCATAACAATTCACTTTCTTTCTTTATGATGACATCACTCTTAACCAAACTATTGCTTTGGGTGACTTAGAAAAGTCAATTCCAGGGAGAAAACATATCTTTAGAAAGACATAGTAATGCTGAATGGTGCCCAAAGCAAGGGCTTCTGATTACCGACATGCTAGAGCCTTGGGATTGGAAACAAATCATTCAGCCAATGGCTGCCTTATCAGTTTGTTTGTAAATTGTGACTGTGAGTCACAGGGTATTTCAGAGCGTTAGCTTCCTCCTAATGTGCTTGTGGGACTTGGATAAAAGATGCTAATAGCATTATCAGGGAGGCCAGGGCATTTGCACCATCATCTACTGACTTTTGTTAATGTAGGCCAACAACCTGGAGAATTCACTTGCAGGAAAGAATCCATTTCCTGTATCCAGCCTACCCTGCTTAGAGGAAACCTCTGTGAAAATTCCTACTTTATACCAGCAGTCCTTTGAATAACAGCTACTATTCTGATATGGATAGATGAAAACCAGGGTAGTCATCTATTTACAACTGATAATGAATAAACAGCATCATTATAGTCCTAGAGGCTGCTTATAGGAAATAAAATTACCTCAACAAGATCAGCCCAAAGCTTGGATTTTGTAAGTGCAGTATCTTAGTTCTTAGGGTACTGGGTACCTGGAGCTGTCCGCCTAGCAGCTGATCAGGCTTGTAGCTTCTATAACTACTGAGCTCTTGGAATGTGATATTAAATTGGGCCATATGATGGGCATAAAAACATACCCTGCACTTTTTAGACCTAATGCAAAAATAAAATAACAAATGACTGCATTGATGTTTCTCATGTTGCTATTGAAATGATACTATTTTGAACATATTAGATTAAGTAAAATTTTTACATATCAAAATATTGTTTTTAATTTTTTTTATTTAAGAGGAAAAAGAGAAAAACACAAAATAAACCAAAGCGGCGTAAGGGTACACGCAATACAGAACTACAAAACAAAACAAAACAAAACAAAACAAAAAAACATAACAGTAAGAAATCACCTGCTAGTAGATTACACACTATCTTCTTGAAAATAGTTCCTCAAATCACAGTATCAAAGAACACAAGGTGGACATTCAAACAGGGAGACTGCAAACAGCTGTGTTCAATGTTCCAAAAACATTGATAAAGTCAGCTATTTAACACCCCCAAACACACTTGCTGTTATATCCGTTAGAGCCCTTTTTCTTTTTTTTTTCCCTCTCTTTTTTACAACAGAATTTACACATCTTGGATTTTATTACTCCTTAGTGCTTATTACTTTCTTTGGGGGGGGGAGAATACAGTCAAATATGGCAAAACAAAGCTGTCAGTCAATACCAAGGATAGACATAGCACATGGTGTAGAACAGAGTACAAGTTTATCAACAATGGTTATCAACGTTGTCCCTTGTTTCCTTAAAAAGAATTGTCTATCTTATTAGATATTCTAAAGTTGCACAAAACAGTAGAGAACAAGACCAATAAAACTTAGGCATTGTAAACATTACAGGACTTCCAAAGAAGACAATAGTCAAACCAGAATGGGTATCTTAGTGAATCTTATTGTCTTCAAAGTAGTTGCCTATTTCTTCAAACTTGATACTATCACATAGAATGGAACAGAGTCTAATCAGTCAAAACAAGATCGTGGGAGTACTACAGGACTTCAAAACAAGTTAATAGGAAATCGAAAAGAGTTACTATTTATATATCCTAATTTTTTTGAATTTTTTCTTTAATTAAGACAAACATAAGAAATGACTAAATAATTTTTTTTGAAACAATAAGGGGGAGATTGAGATAAAACAGGACATAACAATATAACAATAAAGGTAACAGCATGACTGTTTCAACAACTTAGTACTTCACCACCTTATAACCTGACTTAATAGTAGTTACCATAGTGTCTTTTTCCTTGAAATATTTGGATAAAACTTCATATACTCTAGCTTCAAATATTTTCATATCAAGAAGCCCAGAATAAAGCCTTTCTAATTAATGAGTGAAAACTTTATAAGGCTTCAAGGCCACCTAATGGGGAATCATGATTACCACATATTTTTATATATTTGAATCATTATTTACATTAGGGAAACTATTCGGTATTCACACATGTGAGACTGATTTATTTCACTAATGAGTATGGTCTCAAGCTGCGCCCATTTATTGATAAATATCTCAATGTGATCGTTCTTTATAGCTGAATAATACTCCATTGTATAGAAATACCACAACTTTTTTATCCATTCCTCAGTTGATGGGCACTTGGGTTGTTTCCAAGATCTGGCGATTACAAATTGTGCTGCTATAAACATAGGTGCACATATATCACTGTGGTATGATGCTTTCAGTTCTTCTGGGAATATGCCTAGAAGTGGAATAGCTGGAATAAATGGGATTTCCAGTCTCAACTTTTTGAGAAATCTCCAGACATATCTCCACAAAGGCTGTACCAGTCTACACTCCCACCAGCAGTGCAGGAGAGTTCCTTTTTCCCCACAGCCTCTCCAGCATTTGTTGTCGGTTTTCTTGATCCTGGCCATTCTTTCAGGAGTGAGATGGTATCTCAGTGTGGTTTTAATTTGCATTTCTCTAATGACCAATGATGATGAGCATTTTTTCATGTATTTATTTGCCATTTGCATTTCTTCATCTGAGAATTGCATATTCATCTCAGATGCCCATTTTTGGATTGGATCTTTGAATTTCGGAGGTCTGAGTTTCTTTAATTCTTTATATGTTTTAGACAAGAGGCCCTTGTCTGAGAGAGAGTTCACTAAAATCTTTTCCCAGTTTGTGGGTTTTCTTTTCACTATGCTGGAGATTTCTTTTGACATGCAGAAACTTTTTAATAAGAAGTGGTCCCAGTTATTGATTCTGGGAAGTATTTCCCGTGCGGTTTGAGTCCTGTTCATGAATTCTTTACCTACTCCTATGTCTCCAAGGTTTCTACCTATTTTGTCTTCCAATAGATTTAGTGTTTCTGTTTTAATATACAGATCTTTGACCCATTTAGATTTTAATTTAGTACATGGTGATAGACATGGGTCTAGCTTTAGTTTTCGGCAAATGGAGAGCCAATTTTTCCAGCACCATTTATTAAAGAGACTGTCGTTCTTCCAGTGAACCTGCTTGGCTCCTTTATCAAAAATAAGGTGGTTGAGTGTGTTCGTAGTTGTGGTTGTATCTTCTAATCTATTCCACTGATCTTCAGCTCTGTTTTGATTCCAATACCATGTTGATTTTACTTCTGTTGCTTTGTAGTATAACTTCAAGTCAGGGATTGTGATGCCTCCTGCTTTGTCTTTGCTGCTTAGAATTGCCTTTGCGATTCTAGGTCTCTTCTGGTTCCAGATGAAATTTAGGAGTGATTTCTCTAGATCTATAAGGTATGTTGATGGTATTTCTATTGGGATTGCATTGAATCTGTATAACAGTTTTGGGAGAATGGCCATTTTCACAATGTTTGTTCTTCCTATCCATGAGCAAGGGATGTCTTTCCATTTTCTGAGATCATCTTCAATTTCCTTTTTCAGTGTATTATAATTTTCACTGTATAAGTCTTTCACTTCTTTCGTAAGAGTAATTCCTAAATATTTCATTTTTTTGCTTGCTAATGTGAATAGTCCAGTTTCTCTTATTTCCCTCTCTGTAATTTTGTTGTTCGTGTATAGGAATGCTATTGATTTCTGAGTATTGATTTTGTATCCAGCCACAGTACTGAATTTATTTATTGTATCTAAGAGTATTTCAATGGAGTTTAGGGGGTCTTCTATGTAGAGTATCATGTCATCTGCAAACAATGATAATTTAACTTCT